ATCCTAGTTGCTTAGGTGAGAATATCGATATCATGGTAGCTTTACACACCCACCCCACCCTGTCTCTTTTGACTTCCATATAACTAAATTAATTTCGAATTTCTAGGTGTTTATTGATTATCTATGTAGCTTAGAGATTCAGAACATACTTGATGAAGACTATCTAAGCAATAGTCGAAACGCGTCGTATGATGCTTTGGATCTATTCTTTATAACCACACCCACACCCCACACCCACACCCTAATTTTTATACTTCAAATTACCTTGAAACATATTAAAGTATCTTAAAGTAGAGAGTAAAAGCCAACATTAGAAATGTGTAAGATAAACTTTTTTTTTGTAGTCTGCATCCTAACTAAGCGAAATTTTCTTACCCTTACCTTATCTCATTAAGTTTTTCGATTCTCCAAACTTTCGCCGAAAAGGGGTGTGGGTGTGGTTGGGTGTCAGTGTGAGAGTGAGGTACGGTTGTAGGTTTGGGTACGTTTCACGATTTGAGTGTGCGTCGGGTTGTAGGTGTGGATGTATAGGACTTTTGTGCCCGCACTTACACCCACACCCTTGCCACCACCAAAGCATTTACACACGCACACCCACATCCTCAAAGGTTCGGTAGTGTACCTTTTCTTTTAGTGTGTGATATTATTCAGATCGCTTCGACGGCATTACTACGGTCTCTTTTCAAGTCAACCATCTCAGATTGGAGCTCAAAAATACATTTTACAATTGGAGATTGTGACGATTTATGAAAGAAGAATTGCTTGCGCTGATGTCATTATGGTTTATTTGGCTTCTTCATATCAATAACCGCATCGTTTACATACAAAGCATACGCTTATATATTCTTCCATAAAAGAGAATGAGAGAACAGGAAAGGAAACGTCAAGAAGAGAAGATAAGTATAATATTGTATGAGCAAAGTACAAAACGGTGTACTACGTAAAGACAAAAATATAAGGACAATCCACAAGATGAGAAGAAATAGTAAGAGATGAAAATACAGGTTGGTTGAAAAGTTTTGAAAGCGACACCTATTAACCAGTAG